CGTCATCACGCTGGCCGAGCCTGCCAAAGCCGACCTCTTAGAAGACCCCCTCGTGTGTCTGAGGAAGGCCCAGGTATGTATATACACCCTGGTTCAGATACCCATAAGTCAAATTGCCGACAGGGCGGCGTGGATCGCTGGGGGTCGTGTCAGGCACCGAAATCCTGGAGTAGACGGGCCTATCGAGGTTTTCGCACCCATCGGAGTAACCAGTGAAATTACATAGGGGTTGCACCGGTCGGTGTTATCGCTCGGGCCGGCCGGGGTGTGAGATCATTAACCGTACGGCTTCGGGCGTGAGATTGCGAGCTACCGGCTGCGCTCCCCTTGTTGGACTGTGACGGTTATTCGCTCACATCGGCGTTTGCTTGGTGTGTGTGTACCTGGCCGTGAACCCTGTACCGTAGAGCTGCTGGTGCGCTGGTACCAGCAAGCGAGCGTGGTGGTATTCAGTATCTGCTGCACCTATCGGGATCATCGCACCCGGGTGCTTGTACAGAACACCATAGACCAGCAAGGCCGCTATGGCTTACTGGGCGTATCAACTACATGTATCTGAGTTGTCGCACCGGGGGTGCCTTCGAACAATTTATCCATTGTACATGTATTTCCGCACTAGTGCCGAGGTTTTCACACCCGACAGAGTTGTGGCACAGCACCGGGGTGCGATAGAAAGCCAAAAAGGAAAAAATTGAAAGGGGGTCGCACCCGATGCACTCGTTGCCGTGTGGTGTCGATACGGGAAGGGCTAGTGCTTCATGACGTCAAGTTCGACGGCCGTCCGGTGATGTGGCGCGGCAGCCTCGTCGAGATGGCGGTCCCATACGGGGACCCGAAAGAGCCGTTCACGGGGAAGTGCGCCTTTGACGTCGGGGAATACGGTCTTCGGTTCTGCGCGAACTCACTCGAGCTGGGTTGCGACTGCCTCGGCCACACCCACTACTTCGACGCGACGCTGAACGACAGCCGCGGACAGCCGTACGAAGTCGAGCACGCTGTTTGCATGCACGAGGAGGACGCGGGACTCCTGTGGATGCACGTGTATAGCAGCGGCCACAACGAGAGAAGCTGGTCGAGGAGGCTGGTCCTGTCATTCATCGCGACCGTCGTCAACTACGTGTGGGTTGGTAGCCTTCAGTCCACGGGCTTGAAACGGCAGAGAAGCTTCGCAGTGCTCCGTATAATACAGCGGAATGCTGATGATGTGGCATCGGTTTTTATTTGTATATGCTGTCCAGGGTTCAGCCGTGTTGTGCTGCGCGCTTTCGGCTGAACTACACACTCAGCTTGTCAGTCCGTTCAGCCCGCCCCACTCTACCTTTACCAACCCCCGACGATCCTGCCCCCTCCCCCCGTGGATCTATCATCAACCGTTCCCTGCTCTCGGGCGTTCCGGACACCAAAAGATATCTAATCTACTGGTACCTGATGCAAGATAGCAGCATTGAGATCGAGATTGAGCTGTCCGGCGAGCTTTCGACGAACCTCCTCTCGGAAGGCGAGTCGACCCCGCAGCATGGCGTCATCGTGGCCCCTGGGGTCAACGCTCAGCTCCACCAGGCATGGATGACTCCGAATAAGAAAATTATCCCTCTCGCTCGATTTAAATGTGGCTGAGCGGTCGGTTCATTAGTAACGTACCACACCGCAGAATGTAGCGCGAACGACTGCCGGGTTCTCCATCTCCATGATGCTGATTTTCATACAACCAGCAGCGGAGCATATAAACTTTCTTCTGGATGGTGCTGTGAATGATGGGGTCCAACTAGACCGCCGACACAGCACCCGTTCACCGTTCGAAACTCGCGGATTTCGCAGCTGGCCCGGACCCGCGCACGGATCTGAGCACACCCTTCGCTCCCCGCCGCCGTTCCTGTCATGCCCGCTTCACGTTTTATGGCCCTCTTTTCGCCGCGACTCCCACCCCCCGCTGCAGCACATGTTCTGCGCACGCCTCGACATGTCCGTGGACGGCCAGAAGAACACCGTCAAGGAGGCGGACGTGGTCCGTGTGCCCTGTGGCGAGGGCAACCCCGCAGGCAACGCCTTCCGCGCCCAGTACACCCCCCTCGTCACGGAGAAGCAGGCCCAGCGGGAGGCGAACCCGCGAGCCGCCCGGTCCTGGTTGATCCAGAACCCTTCCTCGATCAACCCGATCAACGGGAAGCCCGTGGCGTACAAGCTCGTGCCTCAGACATTCGGCCCGACGCACCCGTTGCTCATGACGGGAGAGGACAGCGCGGTCACCGCCCGGGGAGAGTTCGCGACCAAGGCTCTCTGGGTTACGCCGCACCGGGATGATGAGCGGTGGCCAGCCGGCGATTTCAAGGTGCAGAGCACCGGCGGGGAGGGGCTCCCCGCCTGGACGAAGCACGACAGGTGAACACGACCGAATACTCTTCGCTCGTTGTTGTGACACGGTCATGACGACGGTCGAAGGTTTGGAGTGCCGGGGCGCGCACGTCGTAGGGGGAACCTGGTCTTGTCAGCTGTGTTTAGAAGGCTCTGCGTGCATGTCCAAGCCGGCCCTACGTGTCCTCGCAAGATATACGATTCGTGACTCTTGGGGCTACGGTAGTGCGCCACATCTCCTGATCCCCTCGCCCCGTGTTGGCGCAGGAACGTCGAGGATGAGGACGTGGTCTTGTGGCACTCTTTCGGACCCCTTCATGTGCCCCGGGTAGAGGATTTCCCCGTCATGCCGTGCGAGTCGACGGGCTTCACCCTCAAGCCCGACGAGTTCTTCTCGGGCAACCCGACGATTGATCTTCCGCCGAGCGCAGGCGGGGACGGCAAGAGCAAGTGCTGCTCGCACTGATTTCGGTGTGCTGCTTACCAGGACGCGAGCACCAGACAGCACTTGACGTGTAGTATGTATGGAGTGCATGTTCCAAATATTCAAATGTTTCAAATGTAATTCCTGATGCGAGGGGTACAGTTGGCCCCCGGATACCATTAGAGTATATGTGCCGATTAAGGACCACTTAATGGAGCCCCCGCTCTGAGAGGTCGTTCTCGGGTGTCTTGACGATTTGTGGCGACAGAGAGGTATCGATTATTAGCTTATAACACGACCTAAACGATGAAATAACAAAAAACAAAAAAAAAGGATGTGGTGATGACATGGTGCCAGCGTAGTATTCTTCATTTGTAAGGGAAAAATACCGAAAAAACATAAATGCCCCGATTAAGGACCACTTCGAATTCGTAGTGATTGCGCACGTTCTAATGATTTCCAGAACTTTTCCTTTGGCAAGTATCGTTATGGTAGTAATACAAAACATTTCCGAAAAAAAATAAAAAAACATGCATGCCCGGAGACAAAACATGAAATTCACGTGTTTTTTTGCCTGTTTTTGGGCCAAAAATGGCCTATAACAATACTTTGGGCACCACGCAAAGAGATTTCAAGTCCTTCTTGCCCGTTTTTCTTCGGCATCGTGGCAAGCACCCCTAGAACAAACACCATGCAAATTTTTGTTGTTATCCGGGTTGATTTAGTCTCTATCTGACATACAGACACGATTTTTGCCCCCATTTGGACGAAAATCGAGGGGGCAAAATAGAAAAAAAAGGAAAAAAAAGCGGAACAAAAAACAACATGCACGACCCAAGCTTCGAACCTGCCTCTTACCGGCTCTATGGAGAGCAAAAGACCACATAGTGGCCTACGCATTCACGGACAACCGCCATCATATTGGTCAATATTATGACCTGGCTTAGCCGGAGCCACCACACAGCACAAAAAAAAAAAAAACATCACCTGGCGCAGAATGCTGTGTAGAACAAAGTCCTCCACCAAATTGAGTAAACTTAGGCTTAAATGAAAGGTGAGGTCCATAGCAACACGAAGGAAAAAACAAAGGCTTTCCTCTATGGTATCGGCAAGATATGTTCTTTTGAAAAAAGTGGTCCCTAATAGGGGGATGGTCGTTTATACCCACACTTACTCTACACGTCATTTTCGTGCTACCTTGAGTCTCCATTTCGTACAACTACTTCGTCACCACCGTCGAGGACAGGCTATCATATGCCAGAGATTTGAAGAAACTCCACCGCTAAGCTGTTCTACCCTGTTTTATTAGTTATCGTGAGAAGGCTTGCTTTAATTTCTTAATAGGACATCCTATTTTTTAAGGCACACACTGCTTTGGCTGGCACGTGAGCCATGTCGAGTTTCTGAAAGAACAGCAGGCGGGAGAGGTGGAAGGACCAACAGGGTAATCAAGGTGGCTTCTGTGATATGAGCGGCAGACAGCGAGATGTGTTGTGTGGTCGCTACGAATGCTGTGCGCGGTTCTCTCTCGCCGGATTGTATCGTATGGTCTTGGAGGACTCTAGGTTAGCTTTCATTTCTTTGCTGCCCTTGTTTTTGGTATTTCAGTCCGATAGTCAGCGCTGTTCAAAGGGGCGCGCGTTGGATGACATGTACGAGCGTGGAAAAGATGCATCTTATCCCCAATATACTCGGCGCCTTTAGGGTTTTTGACGTGGCGGGCGCTATCCATAGGAGATTGGGGTGTCGAAAGTACGAGTTCCACGTGGATGTTTGTGGGAGGTAGCTTTCTTGCGAAATCCATTGGAGATGGTTGTATGTAGTCGTACTGTCATGTCAGCCTTGCGCACAGAGATGCTGCGCTCGCTCGCGGCAGTCTCGATCTCCAACGGGCTACAACATATGCAAAATACTCGAGTGATCTGCTCGCCCGCTACATCATGAGAAACATGGACATCCCGGGGTCGATTGGGGAGGGAGGTCATTCGGAAAAATCCGTATCTCATGTTGCCATTCATGAAGATTCATCGAAGTTCAGCAAGCAGACGCGGTTCATTAACCACGGACACCTCGGTACGTGGTTTGCAATGATGCTTACCAACCCATTCCCAGGCAAGGGTCTAGTATATCAACAGGAAAGTGCGAACGGCGGAGTGAATACACTCTGTAAACAAACATTCTGAAGACAACACCCACGAATTACAGCAATCAATTGATGACTCACTAGGCTCGAAATAAACCGAAAAGCGAAACGGTCATGTAAATGACGGCTCTTCTTTCCGTTCCCAAATGGCTAGTGAAGGATTGAGGTCTCCCTGTCGCTGCCGGTAGGATAACCCTTTCAACAGCTCCTGCCGAAGGCAACAAGTGCAAAGGTTCGCCGCGTTCGGAGGGAGGGGTGGGGGAGAATTTGAACCTCAAGGGCATACGATAAATAGTAATGTGACATGTCCTACGGCTAACTTCCATGTGCATGCCTCTCACTGAATCACAGCCATCACTTTCGACAAGGTGCAACTTTCGACCACAGCGCGTCAGTGTTCTGGCCGTGTTTGCATGCGAACGATACTATGTCGCCAAAAGCATGGTCACTTCGTAGCTCAGCACAACATGAAAAATAAAAATGTACGCCTGCCATGTAAGCACATAGCTGGTGACACAATCTCCATCGCCCCAGGTTCCAGAGGAGAGCTACAGCGCATCTCCCCCCCAAAAAATGGATACATCATACTCCGGAGTAATCAATCTGAAGGGAATAGCAAAAAAAGGTCTGGGTGCCTACGACACGGCGAATCCTTGAAACGTTGAAACATAACTCGCACGAGACCTACTGTGTGGCAGTTGAGTGCACAGCGATCACCGCCGGTCTTTTCGGTTGGCCTGTTATGTTGGACTACTCACAAGTGCATCTTGCTCTTCGTTACACATCTTGGCCGCGATCGACGTCTTGAAGTCTTTCCAACAGTCGGAGCAGGATGTGTACCGCCCCTCTCGGTAGTAGTGCGTCGCTTGGCTGACAGGCGCTGCAAGAGTCAAGAGAGGGGGGGGGTGGGGGGGGGTTGCTCATAGACGTGCATGCCGGGTTCTCACCGGACCAGGCTCTCACATCACCAAGCGCGAAGCGCCGTGAGATATTGGGCGAGTCGCATGAAGGGTGCGCTGCATCTTGCTCAAGGTGTTCGGTATCTTGTGCTTACTTCCTTGCGTACGGATGACAGCTGCATGACTTAATATATTTTCTGGTGCTTTCACTCCAGAGACAGTTGTAAGCGCTGTGTAACTGCCTCGAAGGTGCGTGACCATTTTAACACAACGTGGTGCGATTATCCCCCTTGCGCGGAGTGAGGGTTCTCGACCCCGTACAACATGATATACTCTAACATCAATATGATTACCGCAACAAAAAAAAAGACAAGAAAACAACAGCGGTAACCTGGTTGGCGAGCTCACGAAGTGGTCGGCTTGTTCTACAACATCGCTGCCAAGCGACGAAAACCCAATCCCGATGGCAAACACCGGGGGGGGCGGCTTGTTATACACCGTCATCCCCAAGTGACGAAAACCCAAACTCCGATGACAAACACCGGGGAGGTGAAGAGGGGGGGAGGGTGTAAATCAAGCGCGCTGGCCGACGTTGCGGTAGACCAAACACAAATAGGCATTTTTTAGGAGAAGCAGCAGGCAGCGAGAGCACGTGGGGGGGTGCTCGGCCGTTTCGCTCTGCGCCTCCATTGGGCGAGTGGGTCCGCCCGTCAGGAAACGAAAGGCACAAGAACAACCACACACCACCACTGCCGAGGACTTATTTCGCCGTTGCACGGCAATCCGGCACCTGACCCCGTGACAGTTTCTGCGTGTTAGCATCTACTCCGTCGTATCTACATTGATGCAGTAGTTGTCCATCGACGCAACACGGCCACTACGATCGCCTCGTCCAAAGGGACCGCCAGGGGACATCAACCATAGTTGGCGCCCGCACTGAAGTACTCCGCAGTTTTGACTTAGGCCAAAGTTATTTGTCCCTAGGGTTATTCTACGAATGGCCGTTACGTCTGTGGTGCCCAAATGCTTCGGGTTCGAGGTGTTGGAGGCTCTGAGCTAGACCTGCTGTACTGCTGTAGCGGTTCGATGCGGTGATACTGTAATGAATGGTGTCACTTGCGTCATGGTGCGTTGGTGCACACTCCAGTAAGTCGCCGTGGATAGATGCAAGCCCGTTGTCAACAAACAGCAAGCATGAACCGGCATATCTATCCTACGCCAGTCTAAGCAACAGCTTGACGGCGGGTACCCCTAGGCATCTGGTGCACGCTTCCGGAGCTGAAGCACCAGAGCAGAGAGGCCTTGCCTTCCCAACCGAGTTTGCTGTCCAGTCCGACAGCCTAGGCGCAACGGTCAATATGTACAGGAGACCAGACTCTTCCACCACGCATTGTGCCACCCAGAGATAGGGACCCGCCAGGGAACGCACGTGCATGGCGGTGTAACTGCTTGTCTAGATACCGTGTCCACGTGTACATAGTGATGCCAATCTCCCCGCACATCTGGTCCTCAGGAGCATGGCTCGCTCTCACTCACTTGTGCAAGAGAACAGGAAGTCCAGGTGGTACCAGACGCTAACAACGCTATTAGGTTGCGGCATGCTTGTGATCGAAGTGATCAGGCGGCGACTCTCTTCCCCCTATCTGGTTGTGTGTGCTGTTGTGCGACGTGGTGTGGCGGGTCACGTGACCGCAGACCGCAGACTGGTGAATCTTCGGGGGGCGCACAACATTACATTGTATGATACGACGGAGCCCCTCCCTATCCATGCATGTGTCGGCACACCATCTACCGTATATGACACAAGATAACACACCCCCTTGACCGATTTTTGAAGCTCGATTTCTCAACTGCAGGAACAGTCACAGCGCCGAAAACGGCAGCGTTGAAACCGTCTTGTCGAGAGCTTTTCGAAAATGTATCGTTTCGTATGTATTCTCTTCGTCGTGGAGAAATCGAGCTTTGAAAATCGGTCCAGGGGGTGTGTTATCTTGTGTCATATACGGTAACATTTTTCGTTGCTTTCGAAATTGCGTTGATTGGTCTTACCCCTCCACGCTTAAACAGGGGGGGTAGAGAAGAATGGAACTTGGGGTTCACAACCTATCCCCGTCCACAACACCATCAGTAAAAACCAGTCACCGCACCATCAGGCATACTCTCAGAGTCATGCNTTTTTCGTTGCTTTCGAAATTGCGTTGATTGGTCTTACCCCTCCACGCTTAAACAGGGGGGGTAGAGAAGAATGGAACTTGGGGTTCACAACCTATCCCCGTCCACAACACCATCAGTAAAAACCAGTCACCGCACCATCAGGCATACTCTCAGAGTCATGCCTGCCCCCAGAAAAAGATCTCCGAAATACCTCTTGGCTGCAGCAGCCTCCCTCGCGCTTCCTTGGGGTAGACCTATGGTATATGACTATAACAATCAAGCAATATATTGCTTGATTGTTATAGTCATGTACCATACCATAGGAGTAGACCAACAAGTGCCCCCAAGTCTACTCTTCTAGTCAGGTTTCAGACACTTCACGCTGACTCCATGCTGCTGCTCTCTGATTGGCCAACAGATATTTCATCTTCCGCTCCTCACAAAACTCAGATTTCAACGCCTCTGTCTCTGCAATCTTCTGCTTGTCTCAACGAGGCACCCCATGCACGCAGGTTTGGCTTGGGCGATTACATCCCCTCTCCCGGTATCTCCTCGCCAGGGTCAGCACCGACAGCAGTCGAGAAGCAGGCGCAGGCGTGGCACAGGGTTCTTATTTCGTCTGTACATCGCCCCGGTGGTCTAGTTGGTAGGGCAGGTCATGGGTTCGAATCCCGGCGAAAGCGAGCTTTTCTTGCAAAGTGAGTTTTTCTCTCGCTTCCGCTCCTGGCCCAGTGGATAGCGCTAGTTCGTGTGTACACAGAGGGAAGAGAGTGCTGAACTCTTCTCGCAATAAATATCGAAGGCAAAGCACCGCAGGAGGGGAGGGTAGACAGGGGCTCTTCTTCTGTGTGACCACGAGTGGGTTGGAGTAAACGGCACTAGTAGTGCCGTGAGCGCTGATTTGAAGTGAAGACCAAAACAAAACAAAACAAAAAAACGCCAGAGGCCTTCACGAGAACACCACGGCACGCTAGCTAGAGGCCTTCGCGACAATACCAGCGGCTCCGCACTGGTACTTATCGCTCTGCAAACAACCAGTCTGCAAACGACGCATGCATGTATGCACCTACTGCTGTACAGCAGTTGGCGCCCGCAGTTAAGAAATATTTTGTGAAGCAATTAATGATCGATAATTCGGGTGGCTCAGTTGTGTGTGATGAGAGTGTAGTCTAGAGCAGCTCGGCCATGACGGGCCGTAGGGGTTGGTAAAGTCTTACAGACGTGTTGGAAAACGTGTTGTATCCGTGTTGTATTCATCGCGGGCGTGCTTGAGCTCGTCATTCCATCACGGCATCAAGTCACGCATAACGCT